TCCAGGAGCAGCCGAGTGGGAGTCTCACACAGAAATCTCTTGGAGACCACCGAAGGCTTCAGTTGCCCAGGCCCACTCGGATTGATTCTCTCATTTGGCTTATGGAGGGGTGCTATACCATTATGTAACCCCTCCCCCGCTTAATGGTTACTTTAAATAAGTGGCATAATGGTTATACGTTGGGCTGTTAACCACAAGGTCAGCAGTTTGAAGACACCAGCCGTTCCACGGGAGAAACACTGGGCTTTCTAAGCCCATCAAAGAGTTACAGTCTCAGAAACCCACAGGGGCAGTTCTACTCTGTCCTATAGGGCCACGGTGAGTCCGAACTGACTCAATGGCAGTGAGGTTTTGTTTTAAAATTATTATCTGCATGGAAAGATCAAACTATGTCCAATATCTGAAGCCCATAACAATACTCCAATTTTTCTTTATCCAAACAATGAGGGTTGCATTGTGAAATCAAAGCATGGGTTTTTAGCCCTCCCTCAGTGATTCTCATGAGGGAACCACGGGTACTGTCGGTCAAGGCCTGGGACACACACTGACTCCAAGGGTCCTGAGGCCATTCCCTTTGCCCAACAGATGTTCCCATGAAGAAACCCTCACCTTCAACTTTTGCCTGCTTTCCCCACTGTCTAGAAGTGTTCTCTTTCCATGCCTGGTTTGAAATACAAGACGCCAAAGGCTTCTGATCCAGAAATGGTTTGTTCCTAGGGCTGATGCCCGTGGATTAACCTTTGGGCTGCTAACCCCAAGATCAGCAGTTTGAAACTATCAGCCCCTTTTTAGGAGAATGATGAGGCTTTCTACCTCCCATAATTAGAGTTTCAGCAACCCACAGGGACAATTCTATTATCATATAGGGTCATTAGGAGTCAGAATCCGTTTGAAGACAGTGAGGTATACTTATTATTATTTTTAATTTAAATCATTTTATTGGGGGCTCGTACAATTCCCATCACAATCCATACATACATCCATTGTGTCGAGCACATATGTACATTTGTTGCCATCATCATTCTAAAAACACTTGCCTTCCACCAGAGCCCTTAATATCGGCTGCTCATCCCCCCCCCCCATGAACCCTTCATATTTCACAATACTTATTATTTTTTCCGTAAGAGTATTTCAATGAAATGACTACATGTTAGCTACTATAGAAAGACTTTCCACTTGAAGAAATGGCCGTTCCATCCCACTTCTCCCCAGCCCGCTCGGTTCAGCCCTGACTTCATTCCAGAAGAAAGAAGAAGTGAACGGGCTTGGGAGAGATGTCCTTTCTTTTGGAGTTGTTCTCTTTGCCACCCCCATTGCATTTCTCCGCTACCCTAGGTAGCCTGCCCAAGATAGGTGAAGTGAAGCGGATGCCTCTCAGAGTCTAGATGCTAACAAGGGAGCGTGCCCTTCGGTCTGGGCTGCAGGGACATCTCCCTGAAGTTGCAGAAAGCAGAGAGAGATGGGGCAAGTGGCTGCAGCTCAAGTTGCAGAGCGATTTGACACATCATTTGTTTCCCCTTCAGAAAAACATTTTTCATTTTCTTTTTTCAGCTACCCAAGTAATATAGTTTGATGTGGCTGGGTATCGTGTTATTAAAGAATATGTATAGTTGGCCTATTCTATGCAACATGCTATCCTAGGTATTTCAGGGAAGTTCAGGGTGAATGATGCCATGACTTAGTCTCACATGTAGACCAACACAACACAGTTTTAGCACCCTGAGAGGAAATACTGGAGTTTCAAGTCCAAGAACAAGTATCTCACGAAAATGATGCTGATTGATGACTTTAAAGTTGAAGCTACCTACCAGAGTTTGTGTGTGTGTGTGTGTGTGTTTTAAAATGTGACTCTCTTAGTTGTGCCCTTTTCAGCTCAGATATATTCCTGAGGTTTATTGCAATGAATACTCAAATGATACTCTTCTCAGGGAAGAGTGTGTCGTCTTCTCTCCTGGGAAGAAATAAATGAACTTGAATTCTTTATTTTCCCAGGTGGGGGAGGGGCTTCCATGAGGAGGTTTCTACTTTTGTCCTCTTCAAGATCAAGGGGTCTCTTCTAACCCATTTTAAACATCATTTGGTAACAATGTGAGTCTTCTTAATTTCTCATTTCTGACCTCCTTCTGAAACACACACACACACACACACACACACACACACACACACACATTAGTCTAGCTATGGGCAGAGTGCTTGAAAGCTGTTTCACACATGGGCTCCAGTTCTTGAGCTATGTTGTCATTCTACAGCTGGGTTGGGTTCAAATAAGCTGGGGGGCAAACTGCTTTGGGAGCTGGCGTGGCACTACTTTGTCATCACCCATGTCACTTAGTTTTTGTTGATTGATTGCTTTTATAATATAGGCCCATCTCAAGTCATTTCAAGAAACAAAAGGAGCCCACTGGGGTTAATAAAATAGAGGAAGTACATTGTGCATTTGCTCTGTCATACTGCATGCTTTGATTTTATGGAAACCACATATTCAAATGAATTCCTTTTATTTCGATACCCGGTGATCTTTGCAGTTATCTAAAAATAGGCCCTCCAAAGAAATCACATGTTGTTCATGCATCACATAGAAAGGATCGCACCATTTGAAATGGAGTCCTTGATCTTGGCAACCATGGGTCTCAAGCACTGGCACCAACCCCACCATTTAAAAAAAAATATTTGGTGGGAGAAGCATGTAGCCTTCCCGTTTCCCAGAGAGGCAGCATGGCCAGGCCCTTTTGCAAAATCACACAGACTACAGAGGCATCCCGCAGCTCCCCGGCTTTCTGTTTCATTGCATTGAATGGAAGATGTCAGAAAGAAATTTCCCTCTGAGCAGAAGGTGGAAAGGAGGCCTCCCAGTCACATGGTGGCAGCCCCCACTTCATCCTCCTCAGAAGACAACTTTGACTCAGTCCCTTCCACTCCTAGTTGCAGAAGGTAGAGCAAATCAGGGCAGGAGAGGAGGTTTCTGACCAATCAAATGTATAGCATTGGGTTCTATGGTTTGTTTGGGGTGGGGGGGTGGGTCAACATCTGTGTCTCTGATCTTCCCCACCTCCTTTCCTCAGAATCTGTAGGTTTATATATTTGAGGTTCTGATCTCATCAACTAACTCAGGAAAACAAAACCTCTAAAACCTCTAGTTTTAAGGTAACGTGCCTGCTGTCACTACTCACCAGTGCGCAGGGCAGATCCTTGTTGAGAAGGCTGCATGGGTCTGTTCTGTGTCCATGCTCCAGGGCTGGGCTAAGGCAATAGGATAGGTGTGGGGTGGGGGTTGACTATGGGCCCAGCTGAAGTCTCCAGAGTTTCCCCCCAAGTCAGGCTCTGTGAGTGCGCGTGTCCGCCTGCGTGTGTTTAAGAATAGGCTTGTTTCATAGGTAGGCCTATTGCCTGTGCTGTCATTATCCTAGACTTTCTGTAGGCGCCATGCCTGAGCCCATCACTCTCAGTGATTGGGGTGCTTGCTAGGTCTCCTCCTCCCGTTGGTCAGGAATCCAATGTCCACTACTTCAGGACCCAGGGAGAGGAAAGTAACCGGAAGTCCCAGCCCAAAAGAAAACCCAGAGAGGACTGGAACCCCAGAGCTCATTTGGGGCTACTGCCTTGTCATCCCCGAGGCAGGAGACAGAGAACCTGCCAAGGGAGGGCGCCCAACCTGAGCTACTGGGCCAGCCTCCATTTTACTCTGGGACCCGGGTGGGATGTGTGAGGGGGGAAGGGTGGCTTCCGCCCCTTCCTCTCCCCAGATTCCCTTCCTTCCCCCTAGGCCCGGCCCGTGCGGGAGCACGGAGATCCCACTGCTCCCCAAAACCCAGACTCTCAGCCTGCTATGGCGGCCCTGAGGGCACGGCCTGGGAGGGAAAGGGGCCAGCGTGGCCTCCCGCACCTCCCTGCTTTGCCCACCGCCGGCGCGCAAGGGAGGCAGTTTAATTAAAGGGGAACCCGCAATGTATACGCCGGATAAAAGCGAGGCACCGAATAAACTAATTAAAACATTGTGTTTGCAACACATTTTAGCCCCCCCCCCTTTTTTTGATCTGCGCTACGTTTTAAAGAAATGTCATCACGCCGTAAAGCGGGCCGTGAAACGTTATTTCCTTAGAGTGTGCGGCGCTTTTCAAAGGCCAGTGTGATATATTTTAGAGAAGGGATCCCGCTGGGAAAGCTTGCGTGTCTCCCCTGCACCAAACTAAGCTCTTGTCAATCACGCCGAGCCCCGTCCAATCACCGAGATCCCCTTTGGAAAGCGGCTCATCCCGCTGTGCTTTTATACCGCGCACCCCAGCCGGTTTTGATGCATTTTTACCAGCAAGTCCAGGCCTTGAATGATGAGGCCGCGGCCGGGCGCAAGCCCGGCTCCCTGAGAGCCGCCTGGCCCTCATGAGGCGCCAGGCTCATTGTGCGTCGCCCTGGCCTGCCCGAGGCGCAGGGGACTGCGATGTCACTCGGGGCCCCGTGGTGGGGCCACGTCTGGGCAGGGCATCGTCTGGGCAGGGCATCGCTTTGGCCTCGGCCCAGCCACAGTCAGTCTAGGTGGGCAGCACTCTGTAGGTGCGGTCCTCCCCGTCTGACTAGGAAAGCCAGCCCAGGTGCAGCCTGGCACTGCCCCTGGAGATTCAGGAGAGGGGGGAGGGATGTCCCTCTGATCAGGCCTCTGTGAATGAGGTGGGGGTGGGGTGGTACCCTTGGGGCTTCTGCCCCCACGTGGATGTGGCTGTGCTCTAGCTGAAGTTAGAAAGCTGCTTCCCAGTAGGCAGCCCTGTCCTCGTGCCCGGAGGGTGGGAGGACTTCCTCAGTCTTCCCAGGACGCACGGTTCTCGCCCCCCCCCCCCCCACTGGGTTGCGACACCATGTGGGCCCTGGAGCTAGCTTGCAGAGTCCTCCCACTGGGAGCCCGATGCCACCCATCTGTGGGACCTGGCTGGTGACTCCCTCCTGGCCGCGCCTGTCACTCTGCGCTCTGCCTGGCGGGGCAGGTGCCACCTGAAAGGCCAGATACAAACGGCTGCCAAGCACCGGTGGGGAGAGGGCCTCCGACGCCTTCCCGGATGCCAAGCCAGGCGCCCAGCTCGAGGCCTGCGGATGCCCCGGACAGCCGGATGCCCTTGGAGGTGTGGCGGGCCAGGCTGGCAGGGCAGCTGCTGCTGGGTTCCTCACAGTGTGTTCCCGGCTCCGGAGGAGAGGGAGGGAGGGAGGAGGCTTGGCTGTCCTTCTTCCCGGCTGCACCGAAAGTGTCGCCGGCTTTTGTTTCCAGTTTCCCGTGGAACGTGAACCCGGGATGTGTGGTTTGGCAGAGGTCTCCGGGGACGAAGCCACGAACGTCGTGTGAGATTTCGGCACCTCTGGAATCGACCAAACTGCAATTTTAAATCGTCGTCGTCTTATGTTTTATCTCTGTCTCTGTTACACACACACACACACACACACACACACACGCTTCGATCACACATGTCCTCATTGCAAGTGTTTGATTTCCAGGGGACCCCACCCTCCCCCACAGCTTGCTTCTTTCCAGAACATTCCTTCCAGGATTTAATCCATTGATAGTTATGGCCAGGACCGCCTTGGAGCCCAGGGCTGAAGCAGAGTGCTTAGTAATGCCGATTGTTTGCGAGCCTCCCAGGCGAGCTCTCTCTCTGGAAGGAACAGTCCTCCCCACAGTGACCCCTTGGAAAGGGGGCTCCTTCATGACGACCCTAAAACGAGGGAAGGAGAAGCAGCCCACGCCCCCCGCCCCAGTCCCTAACAGGCATCCCCCAATCTGGGTCCCGTAGAAGTAGGGCTGCAGAGCAGCTAAAATCTCTGTCAATTCCTGCTGGGGGGGCGTGGCCTTTAGTGTTCCATCTCCCCCATTCACCCCGAGGCTGACTTCCTTCTGGATGGCAGTCGCTACTGTTGGGTAACCTCTGGGCTCCCTGGCATCTCCAGGAAGGTTTTTGGGAGCCTGTCCAGAAGCCAGCATCGGGCCACAGTCCCCCTCAGCGCCTGTGAGACAAAGGGTGGGTTCTGGTCCCCACTTTTTTCAAAACCTGATACGATGAAACTGGCCGGGAGGAGGGCGCGCGGGGCGGGGGGTGGGGATGGGGGAGGTTCAGGTGCCCCAGCTCCAGTGGATACGGGCTCTGGGGGGTTGATTTCCTTCTAACAAGTCAACAGAGGGTGGGGATCGTGCTGAGATTCGGGGAAGATGCCGGTGCCATTCTGGGAGCAGCGACTCAACCCGAAATTTCGGGCACTTGGAGTGCAATGGGGGTGGCAGGAGTCTGGGCATGGAATGGGTCCTTTGCGGGCCTCCAGCTACCACTCCCAGCGGCCACGTTCCTCTTCCCTGCAGGACTCGTTAGCGGCCTCTTGGAAGCACCTTCAGCTTGGGGATTTTTGTTCCCAGGAGTTCAAGTGTGAACTCAACGGTTGTAATAGGCGCCTTGCTAATAGCGGCGAAAGGGAAACAGCACTCCGGCATTCACCCAGCGATGAGCCGCGGGCTTCTCAAAGACCCATGGTGCCGGGACAAAAGCCAGAAGGAGCGCCAGCGACCCACCGGTCGACCCCGAACTGCCTCCTTCCAGGCCCAAGCCAGGAGGCCTCAGACCGAGAGACCAGTAGTCATCCCAAAAGGCGGCTGCTCCCAGATGCCCGCAGCTGGCCTTAGGTCTATGCCGGCAGAGGTGCGGCAGTCAAGAGGGGTGGGGTGGGGTGGGTGGCTGGGAGCTTCAAGGATTTACCAGCGTCCAGAGAAGCGCTGTGTCTCCTCCCCACAGCCTGCGACCTTACTCATTACTGGGAGGGAGTTGGTGTGACTGCGTGTAGGGCAGTGTGACACACGCTTTAGTCAAGAAGCTGGCATCCAGGTACATTGGGGGCCCGAGCCAGATGCCTGACATTCGATCAATCCTGGTCCCTGTTGAAGCCTCAGTTTCCCCACTGTAGAGGGAATGGTTTTTTTAGGTGTGTCCTCTGTTTGGCCAAGAGAGAATAGACGCATTGCCCTTACCCTCACTGCAAAAATTCGTTCAGAAACGTTTTTTGATCCTACCTGTCCTGTAAACAAGGGGAGTCCTGGTGCTGTGGTGGGTACATTTTGGGCAGGTTCCCTGTAAGGTCAGCAGTCCTAAACCACCAGGCAGCTCCGTGGAAGAAAAATGGAGCTCTCTGCTTCCTTAAATACAGTCTCGGAAACCCACCCAGGGCCACTTCTACCACGTCCTGGAGGGTCGCTATGAGTTAGAATCGATTCGATGGTAGACTGGTTTCCCTTCCTTCCTTCCTTCCTTCCTTCCTTCTTTCTTTTTGGAGGGGTCCTGTAAGCAACCGGAACCCTGGTGGTTTAGTGGTTATGAGTTGGGTGTTAGTTTGAAACCATTAGGCGCTCCGCTGGAGGAAGATGAGGCTTTCTCTAGAAAGAGGAGACTCCCTTTAAGAGTTCCAGTCTCAGAAACCCACAGGGGCAGTTCGAGCCTGTCCTCTAGGGTCACTAGGAGTCAGCATGGACTCAATAGTGAAGAGTTGGGGGGTTTTGGTGAGAGGGAGGAATCCGTAAACAACGAACCCCGGTGACGCTGTCTGGCGGAATTCACATCCACCAACTCTCCAGCAGGTAAAGGATCTCGGCTTGGAAACACTCTACAATAGTCAAGAAGAGTCGGGATGGATTGTGTGCTGGGGCTTGGTCTTTGGATCGGTCCCATAAAGGGACCTTTTCCTCCTCCCCCCCCCTCCCAGGGCGGGAGCTTTGTCAAATTTGGCACCGCAGCAAACTGAGGAGGTCGCTGGGACCTTGGCGGTTCCCCTCCTCCCCCCGTGCTACCCTAAGTCCCGGAGCCCCGCGAACGGGAAGCTCTGGGGGCTTTGGTGGCTGCGAGGTTTCTGCCCAGCTTTCCATAGGTGGCCATCTCAGGGGCCCGACTGCATGTTTTTTCTGAGAGTCCAGAGGGCCACGTTGCTTGACAGGCTCAGAGGGAAACCCCAGCGATGGCCTGGCAGCTCCCGGCGGGGGAGAGTGCAGGAGGAGCAGACACAGCAGGCCGGCCGTCTGCTTCCTCGGCTAGCTGTCCACAGGCACTGGCCGAGAATCGCGTGTGGCTCCGACGCGAGACCGTTTCCCCGGCAGGGCAGGTGTCCCGCACGCTAAAGTGAGGTGCGAGGCGCCCATTCGAGCGTCCGCTGTGCCCGTGGGCACTTGGTGGGTCCGGTGGTGGTGGTGGTCCCTTTCCCGGTCCCCAGGTCGCCGCTTCCCAGCCCTCGCTTTCCTCTAGTCTCCCTTTCTCTGGGCCTGGGCGAGGCGCTCTCCACCACCTTCTCAGCCCAGAGGCAGGAATGGGGGACTTTGTCCCCTGGCGTCCAGGAGATTGAGCCCTGGGGATGAGAACGCCTGGGGCCAACTCCCTCAAAAGACCAGGCGCCCTATCCGCCCCCAATCAGCAACGGGTCGGCCACCGTCACCGTCTGGGCACGCAAACGCCACGTCGCTGGCTCAGCATCTCCCGTGGAGCTCCGTGCCCGCCGGGCTCATCCTGCCTCTGGGCGTTTGTCGTCTTGCTGGACTGCCAGATAGCACAGTCCTCCCAGCCCAATCAAAGCTGCCGCCTCAGCCGGCTCCCCACCGCCTCTTGGACTTTTGGTCATTTAGAAAATGCCTTCACAGCATTGCAAGGCATAGATAGGCGTTCAGAAGGCAAAACCCAAAGCAAACAACAATATCAAAATGGTTTGTTTGCCATCGACCCAGTGTGTCAGGCATTGTATGTAAATCGCTGTATGAAATCCTGGCCACGACCCTCCGAAGTTGTACCACGGCCCCCTCCCCTATCTGACACCTAAGGGGGCTGAAGCCCGCACCAAGTGACTTGTGCCTACTCGTTTAGAATCAGTAAACCCAAACAAACAAACAAACAAAAAAACCCAACCTTACTGCCCTCTTGTGGATTCCATCTCATAGCGACCGTATAGGACAGAGTAGAATTGTCCCTTAGGATTTCTGAGATTGTAATTCTTTACCGGAGTGGTAAAAAGCCTCACGATTCTCCCTCAGGGCAGCTGGTGGTTTTGAACTGCTGACCTTGGGGGGCTAGCAGCGTCACTACTAAGCCACAACAGTCCTTTAGAATGTTGCAGGACCTCTCCAAAGGAACCTTGGTGGGAGGTAAGGCTAGAGGTCTGCTGCAAATCAAAAGATCAGTGGTTGGAAATCACCTAGTGGCTTCCCTGGAGAAAGACCTGGAGATCTGTGATTGTCAAAAATGATATGGTTTTGGAAACGCCAGTAGGTTTGCCAGGAGTCCCAATCAGCCCCAGGGCACACAGCAGCAAGGACCCTCCCCAACCAAACTTCACCCAGGTCTACAGCCCTGCCCTTCTTAGGACTTCTTTCTTGCTGAGGCTGAAAAGGGAGCACTCCCATTGGAGGGGAGCCTGCGGGTGGGGGGCAACATGACCACTGAGGCTGCCTTCAGCAACTGCATGCCCACTGGCTGTGGTCTTTTGCGGGGGTAGTCAAATCTTCTCTCCGAGTTCCCCCATCATCTTTATATAGAAAATAATGGCAGTCGCCTGTCGGGGGACAAAGTATCTTTGACGTCCTCTGCCCAAGACAATGTAAGGTTGAAATCAGCTGATCCTGGGGGCAGGCTGAGACTGGACCTAAGGAACCCTCACCCACCAAGAGAAGCCAGTAGCCTCTTGCTCCCTTCTCCCCAGAGGCCACCTTGGGGCCCAAGCTGGAGTTATAGGGGGCACTCCCTCGCAGCCTGCCAGTTGCCAGCGCAGCCCCAGAAATGCAGCTGTTTTAGAAAATGCCTGAGCTCTAGAGCGCCCCAAAACGCTGTTTGGCAGTTAGAGGTCAGAGGGACCACAAGCAGCTTGGGTCTGCAGAGTCTGGGGATCATGTGTAAACAGGGAGACCTATACTCCTGTAAAGATTTCAGAAGGCTTTCTAGAGCCAAGCCAAGCTGACAGGCTTGCTCTCAGGGAGAGGTAGAGAGAGGGTTACAGCTGCCCAGGGGCCAGTGCGAGGCCAGGACCCTGCAGTTGGAGGTTTGGAAGGTTAAACTTGAACTTTCTTTCAAGGGAGTGCTCTGGGCAGCAATCAGAGGAACCCAATGGCCAGTCAGAACGTGGAGGGGCAGTTAGGCTTCTTGGGAACCCCACACACAGAACCAGTGTTCAAGAAGAGCTGGGGAGTTGGGGGAATGAGTGAGCTGAAAGTGCCACACAGAGAGGAGTGAAGGAGCCTGGTGTTACAGTGGGTTGCTTGTGCCTTGGGCTGTGAACCACAAGGGCAACAGTTTGAAACCACTAGCAGCTCTGCGCGGGTGGGTGAGTGGGTGGGTGGGGTGGGGGAAATGAGGCTTTCTATTTCTATAAAAAAGTTACAGTCTTAGAAACCCACCTTGCCCTGGTCGCTATAAATTTGTGGTCGCTGTAAGTCTGAATCAACTCAATGCCAGTGAGTTTGGTTGGTAGTCTTGATTTAAGGAACCCGGGTTGCCTAGTGACAGTATTTGAAAGCCACAGTTCTCTTCTGAATGATAGGGCCACAGGGCCACTAGGAGGTGGACTAGACTTGGGGGCAGTAAGTGTGAATTCTGAGTCTGGATGTGCTGCTGGGTATGGGGCTGGCATGTCCTGAGAAACTTTGGGCGGCAGTGGCATTAATTCTTAGTCTTCTGTATATTTGACAAATTGAATCTTAGCATGCCTTTTAAATTACAGATACTTCTGCTTTGTGAAAATGATGACTTGCCATTTTTGTGAATTTCAGCATCACCTTTGCTACCAAATATTTTTAAATGGAAGGATCAGTATTACATAGTTAGAGCCTAAGCAGCCAGAAGTCTTCAGAGATTCATGCTTAGAAAAGAAGCAAGGGGGAAAAAGAAAAGAAGCAAGGGAGGGTCCTAACGGATCCAGGTCAAGTTGTGTTACAAGAAACAGTATTACTAGTGAACAAGGAATTTGGCACCA